TCAGTTTCTTTTAATGTTAAAATTTTATATAACCATGGTGCCTTTATCAAATCTAAGAAATTAAAATTTATACAATATATTAAAGTACAGACTTCTTTCAGATTTCACAGGTTTTTCCACTGATAACCTTCTTGTATTCCAGGATCCAATCCTGGCTATCTGTTGTTATATTGGTCAGATCATTTATAGTAGTACGTTCGGGTTTTGGCCCCAAATTAAAATATTGTAAAGCTTAAGAACCAAGTCAAATGCCACTTTTTTTGTTACTGCCTCCCATAGTTTGATTTGCTCTGTTGTGTGCAGTTGTACTGCATGTTGTTTATACTTTATTTTCTCTTATTGGATCTGTTAGTCCTTAGCCAAATAATTAATATTGGAAAGAACTCAATCTTATTCATCTTCTTACAAAGAGCCCTTAGGAAATGAGACCAGTGTATTCAGAGCATAGTGTTAAAGGAACTTAAAGTAATATGAGTAGTGGTTAAAGGACATTTTACTGTATAAGAAGAGCATAATTTCAGCTATTTGTGAAAAAGGAATTAAATGTGTCCTGTATGTGAAAATTATGGGTAAATTTTGTCAGAATGGTCTGATAAAAAATTAGGGAAAAGAGCAGTGGATATTTTTAAAATCGTAGAAAGTTGTTGATATAAATAAATCCATCTGTCTCACATTAGGAAAATGTTAGCTAATAAAGTCTGATCAGTGCAACTCTTTGGTCTATGTTTGAATGTAAAAATTATGACAAAGTTTCCTTTGACATCTTCGTTGTTTGAAATACTTATATCAGATTTTGGAATCAGCCTTAATTGCCATTTAGACTAACAGTTTGGCTTGTTCATTTTTGTAAATGTTCATTCTTGTTTTTGTTGCCCATTTTGGTTTTCACCTAGTGGGGTTTTATTTTGTCTTGTCATCTTATGGAAAGTAGTATAGCATAGTGGTTGAGAACATAGATTCCGGAGTCAGACTTCCTGGTATTGCATGCCTCCTGTGTAACTTTGGGCAAGTTACCTAACCTTTTTGAGATGTAGTTTCTTCATCTTCAAAATAAGGATAGTAATAGTAGTTACCTCCTTGGGTTATTGCATAGATTAACTGAATTAGAACATAGTGCCCAACACAGAATGTTGAGTGCCCTGGCTCGACAAATGTTAACTGCTTGCTGTTACTGCAATTAATTAGTTAATTTACAACCTCAGATACTAACAAAATAACTCACCCCTCTCTGTCTCTCTTGTTCTGCTTTTAACTTTTATACTCTTACAAAGGCAAAGATGTACTGCTGCCTTGCTTTCAACATTTTTGTTGACTTATAACTGCATATACTTTTCTTAATTTTACTATTTTTTTTTAAGATTTTTATTTACTTGACAGAGAGAGTGCGCACAAGCAGGGGGAGCAACAGAGGGAGAGGGAGAAGCAGACTCCCTGCTGAGCAGGGAGTCAGATGCAGGGCTCCATCCCAGAGCCCTGAGATCATGACCTGAGCCGAAGGCAGCCGCTTAACCTACTGAGCCACCCAGGCGCCCCTTAATTTTACTATTTATATAGTTTAACATTTAGTGCAGACTGAAGGGAAGGAAGGTTAAGGCTCTTTTCAGCCTGAAACAATCTTTTAAACAAAACCACTTTATCAAATTATCTACCTCCTTGTGCACTTATTAACCAGTGTAATTTATCAAAAGTAATTTTTCCATAATGTTTATTGAAATACTGAAATTACTGAAATATTGTAGTTCTAAATACCTTCTGAAGCATTAAAGCAAAATTATATTCAGTATGATTTTTATGTTTAGGTTATTTTGAATATTCCAGTTAAAAAGTAGTAACCCAAACTACTTTGGAAAGCTTGGCAGTGTTTACTAAAGCTTGATAGCCTATGATCCAGTTTGATATCCTATGATTTTACTTTTATGTATATATTTAACAGATGTGTACATGTGTTAATGGAATGTTTATAGCAGCACTATTTGTAATAGCTCCTAAACTAGAAATTACCCTAATGCTCATCAACAGTAGAATAAATTTTGGCATAGTCACACAATGTAATACTATATAGAAATGGCAGTAAAAGATCCACCAAGTATAGTTGCTCAACAGTAGGGCTGAATCTCACAAATACAGCATTGAGAGAGAGAAGTCTAAAAGGCCATTTACTATGCTATACGGTTTTGTTTATGTCAAAAGTAAAATTAGGCAAAATGAAGCTGTTAGAAGTCAATGTAGTGACATTAGGGATGGGGTTTGAGGAATAGTGACCGGCAGGGAGGATGAAGGGAACTTCCAGAGTACTGTTAATGTTCAATTTCCTGATACAGGTGTGTTCAGTTTGTGAAAATTCATCAAGCTGGAAAATTATATTTTGTGTACTTTGCTTTATGTATAGTCACAAAAGTTTTCAAAAGAAATTGACATATTTATATATTGTAGGCCTGTTGCATTATACATTTGATGATATTGAGGTGCCAGTCTGCATGCATTATTTTTGTCTGGCATTCTTGTTTAAACATCAGAGAATTACGGCAACGAAGAGAGGATAGATGGGCATCTAGTTTAAGTCTCCTAGGCCTTGGTAGTTTTCTTGGGCTTCCCACATGTTGGCATAAAGTGCCCCTGTCAGAAAGTTGAGACGAGGAGGATCTTTGGTTACAGAGTAAGCATCCTTTCAATAAGAAGAGATTGGCTCTGAGAGGTGATAGTAGGCATGTGGATGGGGCTTAAGGTAGCACCTCCTTGGCCATTCTTATTCAAGGGACCAGGGAGTTGTGCCAAATTAATTAACAAAGCCCATTACACTACCTTGTAGACTTTGTGGATGATACAAAGTAAGTTTGCACTTAGTTTTAAGTGACTCATATCTCCGGGAAGGATAAGAATTAGTAAGTTGATTTAGAAAGTTATTCTTTTAGCATAGTCTACAGGAAAGATGATATTTAATAATTTAAGAACTGTTTTTTTTAAGACTTCATTCAGTTTTCTGTTAATGCAACTAGATTGTTTTTTAGACTTTTAGCTTATGTTTATTTGACCCTTGTAAATATTATGTTTAAAAATAATACACATTTGTCATAACAGATATAACAAAACAGTTACTAAAAAGCAAAACCCCTTTTCCAGTTTCACTTGTAGATCTTTTTTTGTATCTGTACATACCATAAATTCATTGATGCTACAATGCATTTATTTTATTACCCTGTGTTTTAACATATCTGAAATTGGGATGTGTCTTTCAATTGCTCTCCACTAGGTGGCAATTATAATGGGCTTGACTTTGCCAGACATGGGAAATTAGGCCATAGCTGTTCATATTATTTTCACTTCAGTTGAGTTATATTCCTTGTTGGTACTATATGGGTTGAGTTTAATCGCTGTTACAAGTATCTTGAAAAGAACTGCACTGTGTGATTTGTCATTAAAGCAAAAAGTTAGTGTACAGAAAGGCACAGAAAAGGCAGCAGGATATAAATTTAACATGAATTGAAGCAAATATTCATGTTGGAAGGATAACCACAGGTCTGTTTCTCTGCAAAATAAAAACCAAGTGCTTTGTGGAATCAAGAAGGGGATCTATTTTATGAATAAATGAAGGTATGCTGCATTTTATTCCTGAAACATGCAAAAGCATTTCCCATTACAAGCCAATCAATGCAGCTTAAGGCAGGAGAAATTGCCATATCCTGTGGATAGGTGGTTGGTGTGACCAGTTCACATACCATATAGGAGGACTATTGTTAAGGCACTGTGTCATAGCTTTAATTGTTCACTTCTTACAAATTTACTGAATTTGGTGATCTTTTTATGTGTTTATTCAGTGTTTTACATCTGTTGAGATAGTCATTTGATTTTTCTTTTCTAATCTGTAAATGTAACTTTTTTTTCCTGTTAACTAACATTTTATGTAATGTATTTTCTGATGTCAAACCATCCTGTATTTCTGGGAAAGCGACTTGATTTAACTTTTTAAATTAATAGTTATTTTGCAGATATCTTTTTAATTTAGAGTGTATAGATTTACCTCATTCTTTTTAAGGGCTCCGTTTTTCTGTGGTATTTTTTTTTTTTAAGATTTCATTTATTAGAGAGAGAGAGAGCACTAGGGAGAGAGAGCAAGCACGAGTAGAGGGGCAGAGGGAGAGGGAGAAGCAGGCTCCCGGCTGAGCAGGGAGCCCAACGTGGGACTTGATCCCAGGACTCTGGGATCATGACCTGAGCCGAAGGCAGACGCTTAACGGACTGAGCCACACAGGCGCCCTATTGAATCTTTTTTTAAATGGCTGCCGTATTGATGTGTATGATTTCCAGCTTTTGCTATTAAAAACAATGTAGCAGGGAACATCTTTCTATATCTTTATATACTCAGGCTGATATTTCTTTAGAACAAATACCTAGAAATGTTGTGCATTTTCATTGTTTGATAACATGAAAGTGATGTAAAAGTTAATTTTTTTAAAAGTATTTACTTGGGACGCCTGGGTGGCTCAGTCGGTTAAGTGGCTGCCTTTGGCCCGGGTCATGATCCCAGGGTCCTGGGATCGAGTCCCACATCGGGCTCCTTGCTCAGCAGGGAGCCTGCTTCTCCCTCTCTCTCCCTCTGCTTGTGCTCTCTCTGTCAAATAAATACAATCTTTAAAAAAAAATAAGTAAAAAGTATTTACTTGGTTTAGAAATGTCAGTGATCATTGGAAAATATACCAACATGCTAACAGTGGTTTGTCTTTTGGGTGATGGGCTTATGTGTGATTAAAAACAAAAACAAAAACAAACTTTAATGGGAAAATTGGAATGAACTTTAAAAAACTAAGTGCTTATGAAATCAAATACTACTTTAGAAGTCCTGGGATTGTTAGCATTTGGAGGGTAGGAACTGTCATAGCTCCCAGATAATTCATCTAGCATAATGCAAAATACATGAAGCAAATTTAAAAGATGTGGAAGTAAGTTGAATTGATTTTTTGAGTTTAATGGAGAAAAAAACCTTCTTGCCAATTCTTTTTCAGGGTTTTTTGATTAACTCAAAACCGGAGAATGCCTGTGAACCCATAGTGCCTCCACCACTAAAAGATAATTCATCTGGCACTTTCATCGTGTTAATTAGAAGACTTGATTGTAATTTTGATGTAAAGGTAATGTTTGCTTTTTTCTTTTTTTTTTTAAACTGTTTTTTTTAGTTTATCTACCTTAAATTCTCCCTTGTTTCAGAAAGGCTTTAAGAAGGTTTATACAGTTTATCCAGATTAAAAAAAAGAAGGTGAGGACGAAAGGAAAATGGGAAGTTGGTGAAGGCAAGCAAGAGAGGAGCAGGTTTATTTAAGTTTTATTCATCTGCTACAAAATTGACTCTCTAAGCTTTTAGCAGCCAGTACAAAAAGGAGGACAGCTCATGGTTCATAGTTTTTACAAGATTGTAAACAAATTGACAAGGATAAAAATGATTGCTCTTGGTTCTAAAAATTTTCAGGTGGTTGTTGGGAATCTTGAACTGTGGTTTAATAGTAGAATATTGCTTGATCTAATCTATGAATGGAAACATGAACCTTCAGTTTTATGCCTTTACTCTTCCATGACCAATACTACACATATATTTATATTTATGTTGATATTGGGATTTCTCTTTTGCAATAAGCTAACTCTGTCACCTGTACAAAGTTTGTCTCCTGGTGTGGGTTAGGTCAGATAGTAAAACAAAGTTTGCCATAGGACTTCCCTCACTATCATCAGTGCTGTTCTAAAGGTCTGGTTTTTTGATACTTTTAATACTGTCTTTACAAATCTGGTTTTGGATGGTCTTGGCTGAAGAGCCACATTGAGGCCTGTATAAAATAAGGCTTGATGTTACTTTTACTGAACTACCTCAGACTTGAGTGTCATGTAGTTTCTTGCATGTGTGTTAGAGAATAGACATGGAATATTACTTCATGGACTTGACATAGCTTTATCTTAGATGATTTGTTCAGTAGGAACAGACCCCTGTTGTGCCTGAATTTTTGTCTCTGCTCCTTGCATTTCATGTCAAGAAATGACACTTCCATAATAAACTTATTAAAGGAATAAAATAATAACTGAAAAAGTGTTTGGAAATGTAGAGCATTTTGTAAATGATAGGTGTTGTTACTGTTGTATATCATTTCCAAATCTAAACTCTTAGTTGCCTTTAAATGGGAAATAAATTAGAGCTGGAAGTCAAATGTAGATTTCCTGCTCTTCAGAATTATATGTCTTATTTATAGTAGTTTGAATTTAAGCCATTTTAAGATTTGATCCAGAACTAAACTGTAATAATTGCAGATTGTTTCAACCAAAAGGAAACATTATTGTAATATTTCATTAATTTCTTGCTGCTAAGAAATTAAGAGTAAACTAAAATTTGCTGATTCTAAGGTTTATTGCATTATTATGCTATGTAAGTTTTGGCTCAGTCCAGTCTTTATTAACTAGAAACTACAGTACTTTTTTTTTTTTTTAATAACTTTCTTCTTTGGGGATGGAAGGTGGGTCACTGCAAAATTTAAGGAAATACCGTCATTGAGTGTTTATTTTTGATGGTGAAAACACAACTCTGGAATGAATAGGTAGGCTTATTAGTCCTCCCGACCCTTTAGTGGATCCTCATCATGAGTCTGAGTGCTTCAAATAGAGTTTTATGATTAGCTGAACTCCAGCTCATCTCTTCCTAGTTCCTGCCTTGAATTTTATGCTGCAGCCATTCCACCTCCTTGAAGTCTCTCAGCCTGTTGTAACAATGCTGACTATACCTTTGTGCCTTTATATATACTATTACCTCTGTCCAAGATCTCTGTCCAAGATGACATTTAAGTGCTAGCTGAGGATATTATCTTTTTGGGAAGCCTAACTTTTTTTCTGCCCTGATAGAATGAATCATTCCAGCTCAATTTGCCACTTTTCCACTTTGTAAATATCTCCTTTACCCTTTATCACATTATTATTATTTATTATATATATATTTCACTTGTGAACTGTGTTTAGAGTTCATGTTTTAATTATAGTTATTACCTAATTTGTATCATAGTGCATAGTAGAAGAGCAATAAAGGTTTGTTAAATCAAGCTATGTAGTATAGTAGTAACCTTCTACTTATGTGTATAATGCATTTTTAAAAAATATGTACATGTAAAAATGTTTAAATTGAGGATTCTCATCTTAGAAAGAAAAATGTTAGAAATTTTCTCGTTATACCTCACCATGTAGATACAGTTTTAATGAATATGGTTCCACTCTGTTGTACATGTTTTTAAACTCTGCTATCTTTCCTTCACAAATTAACAACAGAGTAGCCATTTAAGGCTCAAGATTCCTTACTCATGTTTTTCCTAATGGTTTCTGTCTTGCCTCAGTTGTGTTAAAAATATGAGACCTCAGTTTACAGGGAAGACACATTAATTTTAATTAAGGTCTGGAATACTGCATACTGCATACTTTTGAATCCCTTTTTTTTTTCATTTGAAATACAGCTTTATTCTGATTCTAAACTAAAAAGAAAGGAAATGACAGCGACAAATTAGATTTTACCAGTGGATATTGTGATGTGACTATAGCAGTCTTTTATTTGAAACTCAGGAAGGAAACAGTTGCATTCCAAAACAGCCAAATATGCAGGTCCAAAAAATGAAGGTACTTTTTAAACAGCCACATTCACTTCGAAGCCCATTCATCTCCTTCAGCATCCCAAAGATTAAGCACAAGTCCTGCTCAGCTATATAATAAAGTGGCAAGCATGCTGGACTTTTGGGGGCGCCTGGGTGGCACAGTCAGTTAAGCATCCAACTCTTGGTTTTGGCTCAAGTTATGATCTCAGAGATCAAGCCCCATGTCAGGCTTCTTGTTCAGCATAAGATCTGCTCCAGATTTTCTCTCTCTCCCTCTGCGCCCCCCCATACTCTCTCCCACTCTCTCTCTCAAATAAATAAATCTTAAAAACAAAACAAATAAAAACAAACAAACAAACTAGACTTTTTGACACTGCACTTTCTCATAGGTCATCATCCTCATCCAGGCGAGCAGTTGTCTAAGCAACCTCTAGATCATGCTTATACTGTGTTGCCAAAGCTCAGTCCCTGACAGCCTCTGGTGGGGCAAGAGCAGCCATGGCGACAAACTCCAGGGTAGGGTCTCCAGTTAGTTTTCTAGCAGACCACTAGAAGGGCTTTCCAAAGTTGTAGTTACTTTTTTGGCAGAAATGTCATAGTACTAAAGGTTCTTCTTTCAGTGGAAGACAATAGATTTTGCCTTAACTCTCCTGTTCTTAACATCTACTTTGCTGGCACACAGCACTATGGGGATGTTCTCACGTACTTGTCCCTGATCTCTGTGTCAGGCACATTCTTATAAGTAACCCTTGATGTTACATCAAACATTATAATGGCACGCTGGGCCTGGATATAATAACCATCCCTCAGCCCACCAAGTTTCTTCTGACCAGCTGTATCCCATACATTGAACTTTAATAGGTCCTCTGTTGGTATGGAGCACAAGGGGATGGACCTCAACACCCAAGGTGGTTATGTACTTCTCAAGTTCACCAGTCAGATGATGTTTCACAAACATAGTTTTTCTAATACCATGATCGCCAACCAATACAAGTATGAATTGGACTGGGGATTCTCCTTGGGCAGCTATCATGCTGTTGCTTCCAGAAGTGTCTCTGGCCTGTCTGACTAAACCTAATCCCATTTTTATTGTTTATTAGCCGTGTGACCTCAGGAAAGTTATTTTACCCGTGTGCCTCAACTTCTTTATCTGTAAAATAGGAATTGTTATGTTCCCTACATCATAGAATTGTTATGAGGGTCAAATGAAATAATCAATGTTAAATGCTTATCAAACTGTGCCTTGCACACAGTAAGTAAGCAGCAGGTAATAGCCATTGATGTTTTACACTTCTTACCAGTGGTGTAAAATAGAGTAACAATAAAGATGGCAAAGATGCTTACTTGTATTAGGCCTAGAAGTTTCTCATAATCTGCTGTTTGCAAGCTGGAGAACCAGGAAGGCCAGTGGTATAATTCAGTGTGAGTCCCAAGGCCTCAGAACCAAGGGAGCTAATGGTTTGGAGTCAAAAGGTCCAAGAATCGAGAGCTTTGATGTCTGAGGGCAGGAGAGGTGTATATCAGCAAGAGAGAGGGAATTTGCCTTCCCTTTGCCCTTCCATCTATTTGGGCCCTCAACAAATTGGATGATGCCCACCCACATTGATAAGAGTGGTAGATTTTTTTTTTACTTAGTCTATTGAATCAAATGCCAGTCTCTTTCAGAAACCCCTTCACAGACACACTCCAAAATACTGCTTTACCAGCTCTCTGGAATCTCTTATCCTAGCCTAGTTGACACATACAACTAACCATCACATGGACCTTTCAGAAACTAAATTATTAACTGACAAGTCACACTATGATGCAATAACTCAGTGACAGTTGAGTGTGAAATTTCTATTGTGGTTTATAAAGGACAGTTCAGTCATGCCAGCATGTAATGTATAAAATATAAGTTTCATGAATACACAAGAATAAGAAGTGTGGATCACCTATCAAGGTAGTATGAAATAAGGATAAATTTATCATAGTTACTGTAAAAACAACTGGAATCTCATCCCAAAGAGCATTTCTTTTTCTAAGGGTAGTCATTGGTTGATAGGCTCTTAGCTTTATTAGCTATAATCTTCAGATCAAAAACCTATGCCTCTATTTTCTGGGCTTCCAAATTGATGATTATATATAGTTTTTTATTAGGTATGTTATAGAACCTAATCACTTAGAATGTAATAGTACTTTTCTGAATTGAAAATAAATAGCTCTTGGGGCGCCTGGGTAGCTCAGTCATTAAGTGTCTGCCTTCAGTTCGGGTCATGATCCCAGGGTGCTGGGATCGAGTCCCGCATTGGGCTTCCTGCTCCCCGGGGAGCCTGCTTCTCCCTGTTCTGCTCCTCCTGCTTGTGTTCCCTCTCTCTCTGTGTCTCTCTCTGTCAAATAAATAAATAAAATCTTTAAAAAAAAATAGCTCTTTGTATAAAATAGGGGTTCATTCATATATATCTACAATTCTGTATGAATGCATTGACTTAAGAAACTAGTTAAAAAAATAACTTTCTTATTACAATGTACCATCCTGG